ATATATATATATATATATATATATATATATATCCCCGCTGCGGTGCTCAAGGCCAGAAAAAAACTCACCGACAAGGAACACAACAGCATCATTGCGAACAAGCGAGTAAGTGCAAAAAGTACAACGGCCTCGCGTTATACATCCAGGGGACACTGTCTGACTTTGATCCCAAGCTGTCTGCTCGGCACTAAGTGGAGTTGAGGGTCTCAGTAGATTCAGGAATCTGACCTTCCCGACACACATAATCATCAATGCCAGTCATTAAATAAACCCAGAGTTACTGTTCGACCTTACTTTTTTGCTCTAAGTAAACTGCAAATATAAAACGAATCATTGTGAGTGAAATCAAGGCGCTTTCGAAATCGATGAGCTAATTTTTCAACGGTTCAGTCGTTCTTCCTATCTGTGAGAAACATCAGAATATGGCTCAACATGTGTAGCGTAGCTCCCTCACCGTCAGCCAGCTAGCACACGCACATGCACACTCGGCTTTGACTTATCCCCTTGACCCGTCTAAATACGTTACGTATCGATCCATGTCTTGTCTTGCACGTCGGTACGTTATCGAACAGACGTCACAGTCTAACTTGAACATGCGGTGGTTTGAGGTTAGATCAGATCGGAAAGCTATGTGTATATTGAGCACACCTATACTGCGTAGTATGTAGTTAGTTCAAACACTAATCAGTGTTAGACCGATCCGAAAGACGAGTCAATTTTCACGGTATGAGATTCCTAGACAACTAACCAATGGATGAATAATTTGTGTAGTCAAATGTGACAAACCAAAACTGCTCCCATCACGCCGTTACACAACTTGCCGTAAGCCGACGGTGAATAAGAAATCGCCTTGGAAGCAAAACCATTTCATCACCGGAGGTCTAAGAAAAAAATCGTAAGAAGCTAGCGGTACGATGCGACGGTACACATCGGACTCAACAAGATCAGTCAACTAATTGATTAACTGTGTAAGGAATGCAGTCCAGTAACAGAGTCAGTAGGGTGCTCATTTGTGGCAGCTATCATATGCAACGCATCACCTAATCAGAACTACTCCACAACCATTTCAGGAAGCCAGTACACATGAGTCGTTAAAATCACATAGTTGGACATATGAAACTTATAGTTTTCATGATCCACAGGCTACGAACAAGTGTAACATCGTGGCAAAAAGGACTATATTGAAGGGCATGAGGGAATCGACAGTTCTTGGTCAGGTGCGTGTATTCATGTTTTTAAGCATGATTTATTGACCCTGCATACTGACGACATACATAAAACTCAAATTTTGGATAAAACAAACAAATTTTACCCTATGAAGCTTCATTTCAGAGAGGTTTGGTAAACAATCGGTGGATTTATTTATTTACCAAACCTCTCCGAAACGATGACTTCCCAATCGGTCCCAAACATTTACCTATGAAGCTTGTTTCACTTCACCCATTCACAACAGGCGTTCCGAGCCGAATCATCTTCAACCCGAATACAAGCAGCCCTGGAATTTCTTCATGGGAAATTTCCTGAATGCCGAAGGTGGCGTGGTCAAATTGCACAACATATGTCCTCCATGGAAAATTCGAATCGAGACAATAGCAACACGGCGTTTGGTTGGTTATTCTACACAAGTTGAAGTCAAGTCAGCACTTCCAATGATGACACTAACCAAACACATGAGTAAGCGGTCTTCAGATACCTGGAGAACCGCCCACCTGTGACAGAAAATTTTCCAATCTACGGTGGCTTATCAGAGTTTTCAGAAACCCAGCATTCTAGGCAAACACGACATAATCTCCCCATCTTTCGTTGCGTTTGTCTATTTGAATATGTCAGCTTGCCATGAAGTTTAACGGAAGTTCGGTGTGTGTGACGTTCTCTTTGGAGGGCACGACGTTCATTTTTGGACATCCAGGTACCATGCAGAACCAAGACCGCTGATCTGATAACCAAAGGCTGGTGAATTGAGTTTCTACGGCATGAATATCAGGTGCACCTCATCTCAAAATCAGTTCAATCTGCTCACTACGACGAACCTTCTCAAAATCTGGGATGCGGTGTCTCGAAACACCGAGATGCTGACAGTACTAACCCGAACTGTCAATGTTCTGTGGTAGAAACACAATGAGCGCAAAGGACAGTCGACATGTCAACATATTTTTGAACACTGCCACTTCCTGAAATATCCAGTGGTCGCAAGGGCAAACACATTCCTATGCATTAGCTGTTAGCTGTATCGAGAAACCAAGAAGCCTAAGTGGATGGCTAATATCGCGATCGGGATATCATCACACAACTTACAATGATTACCCAAGGGCCCCGCAGCCGTCTGATCACATTGAACAAATAGAAGATGTAGAACAGGGCAGCAAACACAAGGGTAATGGCTGCCACAAAGTTGACCCACCCTCCAGACGATACATACGACCAACCGGAGGCTGACGCGACACAGATCAACACGATGCAACTAAGAACAACCTTTAAGGGGTACACAAGGAGAAAGAGAAAATCAGCACCAACTCATTTCCGCATATGAATGTACACGTACATGATAAAAAACCTATACTTATCCGGTGAGTTATCCTAAAACGAACCAAAAAGCTAACCAGGACTTATCACGTGGCTCACACCCTAAAACGAAAAAGCTAACCAGGACTTATCACGTGGCTCACACGTGAGTTGACGACAGTGATTGTCTGAAAATCACGAGATATACTTCTTTCTTACCTGTCAGTCAAAGTGACCACGGTAATTAGAGTTGAAACAGGACTGTGAAAGGCCATATGTATATTATACATATATATATATATAT